TGGTGGCCTTTAGTGAGACCCCTGGTGGCCTTTAGTGCGGCCTCTGGTGGCCTTTAGTGCGGCCCCTGGTGGCCTTTAGTGTGGCCTCTGGTGGCCTTTAGTGTGGCCTCTGGTGGCCTTTAGTGCGCCCCCCCGACAATCACACAACAAGTGAGAACAGCCCCCATCATCATTGTAATCGTGCCGCTATCAAACCCCCGATGGTTTCAAACGTGTGGCGGCCCTCCTCACCTGACGGTGTCTCATCAGCGGAAGAGCTCCCCCCCACCCCGCCACTGAAAACGAGTGAAGACCACTGCTCTGGTGCCATCTTGCCTGCATCCTTAATTGGTGTTCGCTCACAGCACTTGCCCCAATAGTCATTGTAGGCTATACAGAGGGCTGCTTTAGCTTCGGAGACGGTAATGTCTTGGGTGGAGGTTCTTAATGCAGCAGTGGGTAGATCATGGCCGATGGTGACAATGTATGTTAGTGTGTGTGTCGGGGAGCGGTGGCATAGTGGTTAGCGCGCTACACTACGGACTGACCCGAGATCAAATCCCACTCACGGCAAACAGCAGAGATGATTATTTGAACCGATTCTGGGCCTCCCCTAGGTCGACTCAGCCGCAACTGAGTACTTGGTGCTGTGTGTAAACATCGGCGCCGGGGGAGACAAAGGCGGCCGGGCGTGGTGCTGGCCACCCCACCCCCTCGTGTGCCGTGCCGGCCTTTATAGGTGCTCGCTAACACCACTTGCCCCAACAGTCCGTCAAGGCTATACGGGGGAACTTTGTCGTTGTCTTTGTGGCGGTTAGCGCGCTAAGCTACGAACCTGGCCACCCGAGTTCGAATCCCGCTCACGGCCAACACCGGTGACGATTCATTTGAACCGGTCCTAGGCTTCCCCTAGGTTGACTCAGCCTCGAACGAGTACCTGGCACCGGGCGTGGTGCTAGTCACCCCACCCCCTCGCGTGCCGTGCCGGACTTCGTCGGGGCTACTCGCGTCCCCGTGAAGGCGACACCGGGAGGGTTGAGTCGTCGCGTTCGGGGAAGGCAGAGCTTGACTCAAATCTCTCTCAAGCTCCGTCCATTCACAAATCACCTCCAACGCCAGAGCGCCCCCACCCCCGACACCCCCTCCCTCGCCCCCCCCCCACCGACCCCTCTCTGGCCGTGTGGCCGCGGCATTGATCGCAAAGTCTCAGCGGGGAGGCATCGTTGGATGCTCGTTTAGGGATGTGGAGGAGGAGGAGGAGGGGGGGAGCTGTGAGTGTTGGGAGGTCGTCTCCATCTGCCGGGCTGTGCTGTGTGTGTGAGAGTGTGTGAGTGAGTGTGTGGTGTGTGTGAGTGTGTGAGTGAGTGTGTGTGAGTGTGTGAGTGAGTGTGTGAGTGTGACTGTGTGTGTGTGAGTGAGTGTGTGAGTGTGTGTGTGAGTGTGTGTGAGTGTGTGTGTGAGTGAGTGTGTGAGTGTGTGTGAGTGTGTGTGTGTGATTGTGTGTGTGAGTGAGTGTGTGTGAGTGAGTGTGTGAGTGAGTGTGTGAGTGTGAGTGAGTGTGTGTGAGTGTGTGATTGAGTGTGTGTGTGTGAGTGTGTGAGTGTGTGATTGAGTGAGTGTGTGAGTGAGTGTGTGTGAGTCTGTGAGAGTGTGTGAGTCTGTGAGTGTGTGTGAGTGTGAGTGAGTGTGAGTTAGTGAGTGTGTGTGTGAGTGAGTGTGTGTGAGTGAGTGTGTGAGTGTGTGTGTGGTGAGTGAGTGTGAGTGTGTGTGATTGAGTGAGTGTGTGTGTGTGTGAGTGTGTGTGTGAGTCTGTGAGTGTGTGTGTGGTGAGTGAGTGTGTGTGAGTGAGAGTGTGTGTGAGTGTGAGTGAGTGTGTGTGTGGTGTGTGAGTGAGTGTGAGTGAGTCTGTGTGAGTCAGTCTGTGTTTGTGTGTGTGTGGAGCGGTGGTGTAGCGGTTAGCGCTACGCTGCGCTACGAACCTGGCAACCCGGGTTCGAATCCCGCTCACGGCCAACACCCAGTGACGATTATCTGAACCGGTCCTGAGCCTCCCCTAGGTTGACTCAGCCTCAAATGAGAGATGGTGGAGAGATGGGGGAGAGATGGGGGAGAGATGGTGGAGAGATGGGGGAGAGATGGTGGAGAGATGGTGGAGAGATGGGGGAGAGATGGTGGAGATGGTGGAGATGGTGGAGAGATGGTGGAGAGATGGTGGAGAGATGGTGCAGAGATGGTGGAGAGATGGTGCAGAGATGGTGCAGAGATGGTGGAAAGATGGTGGAGAGATGGTGCAGAGATGGTGGAGATGGTGGAGAGATGGTGGAGAGATGGTGCAGAGATGATGAAGATGCTTGGAGAGATGGTAGCTGCTTGGGGAAGGGCTTCATCCAGCAGTAGATTGACGAATGGGATGCTTTATTAATTAACTTCATTCATGACGGCAACACCGCCACTGCCACCAAACACGAGTGAAACATTTAATCCTGTTCATTATAGCTGCCAAAAAATGCAAGATTGTTATTACGACAGAATACCACGACACGACCACAATGAGAGTTAATTATCTCTGCGTTTTAGTGCCATTATAAAAATGTATAAATCATAATAATTTCCACTCTGGCTACGGCATTGTTAATGAGAAGATCGGACGTCCTATATTCATTATTCATTTGTGTTCATTAAATCAATCAAACCGATGGCCTACACCAAGGCAACAGCTGCAATTAGTTCCTAAGTGGCGGTGACGTCACCGCGGCGCTCGTGCCAGGCTAGGTGCACTTTGAGGCCGCGTAAAATGTCGAAGGCTCGCTGCTGACAGCAGGTGCCATGGGTCGATTGACTGAGATGACCGGTAGATGTATCAGCTGAACCCCCTCTACTCTGCTAACTTGCTGCGATTTACCCACCCGGCGCTCCGCCCGTTGTTGTGAGCGTCTCTCCTCTGCCCTCCGTTGTTGTTGTTGGAGGGCGACTGCCTCCAACTGCCCGGTAGCTTCAAGATGCACCAAAGTCTGGCACTGCCCAGTAAACGTCCTTCACGAGCCTCCTCCTCCTCGGTAAAGTCACGTAGAAGGGAAAGAACCAAGAAGATGAATCCCTGCAGTCACGAAAGCTTCAAATCGAAATTGAGCCTCCTCCTCCTGCACCCCCCCTCCCCCCATCTCCCAGCCCCCTCCCCTCCTCCCGACATCTCGAGGTTATGGGCACGTGGCGTGCGGGTTGCGATCGCGGCAGAAGGGAAGAGGTTGAGTGAGAGACGCCGGGACAGACGGCGAGCGCTGTTCCCCACGCAGCTGCTGCTGCTGATGCTGCTGCTGCTGCCGCTGCTGCTGCTGATGCTGCGGCTGCCGCTGCTGCTGCTGCTGATGCTGCCGCTGCTGCTGCTACTGCTCCTGCTGCTGCTGCCGCTGCTGCCACTGCTGCCGCTGCTTCTGCTCCTGCTGCTGCTGCCGCTGCCGCCGCTGCTGCTGCGGGCTTCGTACGGCCCATGGAGAGCAAATCGATGGCAGATTCATAGTCGCGATGGGGGTGGTGGAGGTGATGGGGAGCGGTGGTGCAGCGGTTAGAGCCACGTTGCGCTCCGAACCCCAGCCACCCGAGTTCGATTCCCGCTCACGGCCACCAACACCGGTGACGATTATTTGAACCGGCCCTGGGCCTCCCCTAGGTTGACTTAGCCTCAAATGAGTACCTGGTGGGGTGGGTAATGACATCGCCAATAGGGAGACAAAAGCGGCCGGGCGTGGTGCTGGCCACCCACCCCCTCTTGCGCCACGCGAGGCCTTCATAGGTGCTACTCGCTAACAGCACTTGCCCCAACAGTCTGTTAAGGTTACACGGGGGATCTTTGTCTTTGTCGGTGACTATGTACCACGCGGCTGCCTGTAATCATCCAGCACTGTGCCAGCAGCAGCAGCAGCTGCAGATCACCGCACAGGTGTCGCGAAACCAGAGGTCGCAAACGGGCTTTGATTCCTTACCCGTACCCGGCCGCACCAGGGTCGCAAACGGGTACCCGTACCCGGCCGTACCCTACCCGTACCCCGCCGGGTAAGGGTATCGGGTACCTGATTGCGACCTCTGGGATGAAGCCACGTTGCAGGCGCGGGTGGGTTGATTCTAGGAACTTGAATTGTGAGAAGAGACAAGACGTTGGGAAATGAGTGACAAACGGTGACTCACCAGTGACTCACGGTCTACCTGTACCCGGCCGCACCAGGGTCGCAAACGAGTACCCGTACCCGTACTCGGCCGGGTACGGGTAGCCGGGTATCGGGTAGGGTACGGGTATCGGGTACTCGGTTGCGACCTCTGCGCAAAACGTATCCACCACTATGTCCGACGTTTCGCTCCCACCCCCTCTAATCTTGATTTGAAGCTTTCGTGACTGCAGGAATCCATACTCTTTGGTTCTTTCGGTAAAGTCACGTAGGGTAGACAAAATAAAATAAAACAAAAAAATAAGAAATCACGACGTTCCGATCGTAACACAAGCGGTCGTCCTCAGGCGGAAAAAAACGTCGTGAAATTTTTCTTTTATTTTATTGTTTTATTTTTCTACCGACGTGACTTTACCGAAAGAACCTAAGAGTAACACTCCCTCGAGTGAGCTCCCTGGAAGTCGCCAGCCGACGCTGCTGTTGTTTGTTTGTTTGTTTCGATTGAAAGCTTTCGTGACTGCAGGGATTCATCTTCTTGGTTCTCTCGGTAAAGTCACGTAGAAGGGAAATAATAAAATAATAAAAATATAAAACATAATAAAATAATTCTCACGACGTTTCGGCCACAACGCAAGCAGCCGTCCTCAGGTGAAGAACAGGTCTGTCGGAAAGACAGACGCTGCTTGCATTCTGGCCGAAACATCGTGAGAATTATTTTATTATGTTTATTATTATTTTATTATTTCCCTTCTACGTGACTTTACCGAAAGAACCAAGAAGATATTTGTTTCTTCTTATTATTGCATCATCTGCTCACTCAAACTCGTCCCCTCCTCCACCTCCTCCTCGTGTCTCTCACAGGGCGACCCCCGCGGGTGTCTGGATGAGCTCGCGAGGAGCTACGCGGACTACTTCCACGTCCACTCCGCAGACGTCGCCCAGCGACTGGAGGAGCTGCGAGCTCGGAGCCTCGCTCGCGACTCGGAGCTCGAGGTGACAGCCGCCCCAAAGGTCACCCCAAAGGTCAACCCAAAGGTCAACCCAAAGGTCACCAGTAGATCACCCTAAGGTCACCGCTAGGTCACCCTAAGGTCAACTCTAGGTCACCTTTTCTTTGGTTCTTTCGGTTAAGTCACGTCTAAAGATAAAATAATAAATTAAATAATAGCATATTACGACGTTTCGATTGCAACACAAGCAATCATCATCAGGCATAAAAGAAATAGCAACAAAAATCTAACTAGAAAACTATAGACAGACATACAAGCAGACAGACAACACAAGGACACACAGAGAGAGAACACATATCGGCACAAAGAGAGAGGTCGTTT